ATGACTATGATTATTAAGAATCTATCAATAATATTTAGAATAAATATTTTCGACCACAAATTTTTCAAGAAAATTACATTTTATATTCCATTGCAATCCAGTTTTTGCTTTATTGAAAATATAATTATTTGATTTTATTAATATAACTGAATCGAATTTGAACTAATTTTTAAAAAGATAGTCGTGTGGAGGCAAACTTCAAATGAACAAAATAATTGATTGAACTATAATTGGTTTTGTCAAAAGTGTGATGTGGTCGTCAATTATTTGACATCCTTAATTCAATTTCTATATAACACAATCTTTCTGTATTGCAATGAGTAATTGTCTGTAACTGTATTAGATTATATATTCATGTCGATCTCTCTAGGCAGAACTGATATTGTATAGTGGCGAGTTGGGACATATATATATTTTTTGTCAAAGTAAAATGTAACAAAACAACACAAGTGAATATAATAAAAATAAAATAAAGTTAAAGACATTTTTATAGTCATTTTTGGGTATATATATATTTTTTGCCAAAGTAAAATGTAATAAAACAACACAAGTAAATATAATAAAAATAAAATAAAGTTACAGACATTTTTATAGTCATTTTTGGACACTTTAAACGCCGTTGCAAGCAGACAGAATGAATCGTCACGATAATTGTAATGACGAAGAAAATTTTCACCAGTAGGACCAATATTGCATAAATAAAGGGTTACGGCAGCGTCCAGCCTAAAATAAAAAAGTTGTGCTGAACGTGCCCTGGCATAACGCCGATTGGGTCACGTACTTCAGCTTAAATATACACGAAAAATAAACTGACCAGCTGTACATGCCATGGCTCCAGGCCGTTGGGTCATAGTACAGCTTGATCAACTCTAGAAGTGGAATACCTAAGATAACTAACAGGACTGGTATGCCTTTTCGGCTTTGATGTCACTTGATACGACTGGTTCGCCTTTTCGGCTTTGAATGAAACTTGACAATTGCTTTGCATTTAGTATGCTATATTAATCTTTAACAAGGATAAACTACTTAGGATAAGTTATATATTATATATATATAAACAAGAAAATGGGAAATGGATGGGCGGGTATTGAAAAGTGTAACTTGAATAAATGCAGATGTTTTAACAAATTAAACAGTATAATACGAATACCTTTTCATTGAACGAGAGCACGAGAAGATAATAATGAAGTAACAACTTAATAACAAAGATAATGAACTTCAAGAAAAAACGAGCGCTATATATTAAAAACAATAGAAAAGATAATTAAGCAAGAGATAAGTCGATCCTACATGAATCTTCTTTAATGTCCCGTTTCCTTCCCATTAAAGAATTATTAACACCAAAAAGAAATAATAGTGATACTTACGCATTCATATTAATAATTTTAGTTTAATTCACAAGTGTATTAATTTACACCCAGACGATTGAAGAGAAAAAACACGTTATAAATAATACAATATTTTGTTTTCATGGATGGAGTGGACCTCAGCATCACGGCCACTGCACGCGTTCGTTTTTTCTGTTACTCATGAAAAAAAATTGAGGACGGAGATAGAAAACTGTGAACGTACTTAAACAAGTTGTTATCGTCATCGTCGTTGAAGAGTTTTCAATGTCATCAATTCTTTCAGAGAATCGCTTAAGTAGCATAGGACTTCGAACACTCATTTGTAAAACGCATCTCCTTTCTTTCTTTGATCGAACGGTTATGAATGAAATGGAAAGAATTGACTGTGCTTCGATCTGAAGCAGGTGAAATGTTGGGTATGAATCAACAGCAATCATTCCTCACTGTTTACTTTCATTGTCAATTTATTCTTTCAACTGTTACACTCGTTGCTATGTTACACATTGATTTACATTGTTTCTCTGTTGTAGAAGAAACACCATTCCGTTTTTTTGAAGTAATTTTTTTCTTATACTAATGTAGGATTATAAGCAAGTCTTCTTCCAAAGTGTAGAACAGCTACCAACTATAACTGAAACCGTCAGTTTCACCTTCATCCTTTGTATATGTATGTTTAAAACAAAATTTTGTTGAATAGCATTGCCAGCGAAGTGAATCAAGACAACGCATTTGAAACGATTTATACTGTAAGTTGGATTGTCGATGACTACTCTTTTATTGAATCATATGAAAATATATCGAGGTAGTTACACATGTCTATGAATGGAAATGCGATCGGTTCTTTGAAAATCATAGAAGCACATGTCAGAGGTAAGCGATGTTTGTTATTCAGAAACTCTCTTCTTCAAGTTCTTCATGATCATTTACCATTACGTTATTCAACACTACTGTCAAACTTTCCAGTTCCATACTTAACCATATTAGAATCGCTCGAGTCGACGTAAGGTACAAATAACTATGTAAGTGAAGATAGCACCATATTCGAGTAAAAGTTACCCATATTCGTCTAGGAGTCCGTGGGACAAATACACTTATCGACCCCCCCCCCCCCCATGTATTGCCCAATTAGACTAATTAGCCTCTGAGAAGTTCATTAAAAGTATTCCCAAGGGTCCCAGACCAATAGTTTAAGAGATCACCAAATTCGAAAAAAGTAGGGTAGGGGTGTGCGTCTCGATTTTCTCTTCACCTAGACCCACATCCACACACCACACTCAATTTGTAATACATATTGTAAATGTTGAATGATCAGTTGGTGCTCCTGAATAGTTTCATATAAACAACCGATATGAACATTTATTATTGCGATTTGTAAGTTGTATTGTTCGCCAAGAAGTTCAAATAATCGATTAGCTCTCTTATAATATTTTAAAGCTAATTGGTATTGTTCATTATTGTCATAAATTATACCTAAATTGTAGAATAAAGAAACTAAAAGGAGGTAATTTGTGAGAAGTTCAGAATCGTATATTAGTTTACAAGCATCGAGGAAATCTTTTTAGCTTTCGCATACTCTTACTTGTTAAGATAAATTTGTCCTAGATTCATATATATTACAGGTGAAGCTGACTCATTTTCTATTGTTCCAGTTTTCACCGTTTATTAATACTTTGTCGTTATGTGACTGTTTACATACACCGCCACAGTCGAACATACATTCTCGGTGCTCAAACCAGTGAAGACATTTTTATGGAACAAAGTCGGGAACAATTGTCTAAGCTTGTTAACATTTTTCAGCATTCACAGAGTGGCTAAGAACCAGTTTGATCAAGAAAGAGTCGTCAATGAATTTGGGACAAGAAAAAGGCACATTAAACTCATCGAATTATGGTCGTTGACTTTCAGACAAATTTCATTTGTTCATTTTTGTCTGCCAAAGTTTTAATCAGTTCAGAAAACAATATGTTATGTTTTGACTATGATGAATATGTGGTAGAAAACACTTCTACATAATGTGTTGAAAAACGTTTTACGTAAAAAAAAATGCCCAAAAGTTGTTTAAAGTTCTAAACAGATTATGACGTGTTAATTAATTTCATAAACTGTTTTTGTGTGTTCCCAAGTTCATCTACGTTCATGGATTTACGTTGTGCTTATTCATATAAACGTGTTTAGGCATTCTGTACGGACAAAATACTTTATTGGCAATGGTAGTCGCCATTATTATTCGTATGGAACGCATTGTCATTCATCAAGTGAAATAATCAACAATCATTAGTAGATATAGTTTTTGTGTTTGTGTGCATTCAGAGAGAGAATAAATAGTCGTGCATAAAATAAATTAAACAATTGTTAGCTTCTGTAGTTGCTACTAGAAATGGATCCGCCATATGTGTATTTGTTACTAAGTAACCATTATATTTCAATGAAGACTCACATAGATTGATGAACATAGCTTCAGCTACTATGTAGATGCTAGAGAACTTATTGTGTTATATATTTTCTGAAAAGTTTAGGTCTGTGTCACTCATCGTTCTGAAAATACAGTCATTCAAAATTCCAAAATCGTTGGTGCTCTAATGCAGTAGTTTGCTTTAGTCTTTATTACTTCTTGAGAATTATGTAGTTATATTAATAGAAAAAAGTCGAAAACCATAATTATAGCAAAATCTTGATTACTCCTTGTCCACAACTGAATAAATCGGTAAGAAGAAAAGGATTATAAAAACGCATACGCTGCCAAAGTCTTTGAGAGATGTTGATTTAATAGGTGGCACTTATCTTGACCAGCTGCTCCTACAATCACATGTAATGGAATTAAATGATCTTCTTGACCATGATTTTCTCGTGCATATGGTAGCATAGTCCAGTTGATTAATGCTTGCTCTCTGGCATCTGGTGACAATGTCTGTAAGGTATTTGTGATTGCATCAACAAATTCATGACTTTGCGCTCGAGAAGCTCGTCCATGTGTAATTGATCCAGATCCAAATATCAATACTCCTTGTTCTCTTAACGGTGACAAAGCCTTGCCTATAGCAATATGCTGTTCTGGTGAATAGTTGCTGAGAATAGACATGCTAACAACAGGAATATCAGCATTTGGATACATCAATTTCAATGGAATAAAGACGCCATGATCAAAATTTCGTTTAGAATTTAATACGGCATTAATACCCGATTGTTTCAATAAATCGAGAGCTTTCTGAGATAATTGAAGATCGCCTTTTGGTTGAAATTTTATTTCATACGTCTCTTTTGGAAAGCCACCATAATCATAGTACAGATCAGTATGTTGACTTTGTGCACTTATATTGACGACACCGGAAGTTTCCCAATGAGCAGTAATACACAGAATTGCTTTTGGCTTATTTTGTTCATTTTGACCAAGTTGATGAGGTAACTGTCTAAACCATGCTGCACCGGCACTATTTTTATCGATGCCAGCAAATGACGGAAAATCATTACCGTCCACAAACCAACAAGGACCAGCTCCATGAGTAACAAAAACTGCAGGTTGTTTAGACGATGACATGCTATAAAGAAATTATAAAAAAGAAGATGTGATCATAAGTGAAATTTCTTATTTTGAAAAACGAAAATGTTTGTTTTACTATTGTCTAATTAATCGAGCTAGATTTGTCTTGCTCATATAGGTAAAATGTCTGAGTTTGTGGCTTCATTATGTACAAAAGTATATATATATATATTACACTTGGCAAAGATAACTTCTCGTACTTACAATGCATCAGAGTTACATGGGGTATGATGCCATTAAACCATTTTTTTCTTATGTCATGAGCAGGCTTCTGATTTCAAATTACTTAGAAATGGATAGTAGTGAAGTAAGACAAAAGGATGTTTATGCTTTACTGTACATGTTTACATATAATTCTAAAAACTAACATTATCTTACCAAGAAATGTCATACTTACGAAGAAGATACCTAAAGTATTTCTTCGGTTTTCAGCTGATATATTCAGACAACATTGTAGCTGTTTTACTGAATTGTCAATTTATTATAAAGTATTGCCTTAAATATAAAACGAAGAGATTTCATTCTGAAGCTTTTCTTATAGAAAATTGGTCGAATGACCTTTAGTATGTTCAACTAAGAGTTCGAGTCAAAGCGAATATTTCTTTGTTTTTGAGATGTCTGTTAAGAACGACTATTTGCGAAAATTCGATATCTTGAAAAAAAGAAATATTGTTTTAGTTAGAACTTTTGGATCGCTCTAAGCCCCATGCGACCTATTCATGAGCAAAATTTCTGCATTCAGTGTTTTCGGTAAACACATTGTAATAGGTCGAAGAATTAACAAACCAGTTATAACTATTTCTCAATATGGTTACATCGGAAAGATTTATAATTCCTGAAATTTTCAAGATTTTCTACAATTGCTGCTTTGCATTCTGTCAAGTTTTCAAAGGTTTGGAACTTCAGTAGACATTATAAGCAAAATATTAGCTCAAAACTAATACAACAGTTCGGATGTCTCCGTCATGAAATAAAGATAGCACTGTAAAATATCTTATAAAAAAATTGACAGTCAAATCCATACCTTATTGATGAGTATCTGAGTTTGAATGAAAGCAGTAGAATTCAGTCCAGAAAATAAAATGCATATATATTTATATAGGTGCTTACGCTTATAAAATGACGTTGCAAAAAATTGCACGACAGAACGAACAACAGCATCACTGCAGGGATGAATAATACGCTGACGGGAGCATGCGTCATTTCTATTCATACTTACTTGTCATACTCAGATATGCAAAAAAAGGAGGCACAACTGCAATTTAAGCGCACAGTCTCTATGTAAAATACAAACAGAACAGAAAAAAAATCGACTGGTTGAATGTGTGAATACTCATCGAAGAAATAGAACAATTTGATCATAGATGTCGATATGAAGTCTATTATATGACTTACTCTAAATGTGTATATAAAGTCAAGTTTGGAATGAATCTACATTGCACACGTCTGCATACTCTCAATATTCACAATCACTATTACATACCCCAAACAATGTATAATATTTGCGAAAAATGTTTCAACTCGATCAGACGTAGTATAGTGGAGAAATGGGGACAATTTTGCATTGTTTTCGTACAAAAATGGTTTTTGAGAAAAACGCAAAACAATGTAAAATGCCATTTTTTGAATTTTTTTTTTCGTAGTTATCAAACAATATACTTGCAAAGGGGTTAGTGCAACGCATCTTCGATCTGCATAAGATATTTTGATAATGAAATGACCTTTTCAATATAAATAAATTGCTACACCAAAGATCTCGGGTACGCAGTTTTTTTTATACAGAGAGTCTATATAGTCGATTATCAAAAAAACAATCGAAATCAAAGCAAATGAATTTCTGTGATCGAAAAAAGGGTTACACTTAAAGGTTTTAACTTCGTTTCTCATGATCGAAAATCTTTGTCGTGTCTTAACATAAGTTGGATTTTTCTTTTTTAAGCTTATTGACGCATGTCAAGGAACGATGAGCAAAACTCATCACATACTTGATTGGTCGTTTTCTTCTTCTTTGTTGATTTGCTGACTGCCAATGAGACAGATAGTCGATTCGAATACATAAAGAAGAATTGAGTGAAACCAATATTTTCGAAAACGATCAGACCTACTTTGAAAGCCAATTACCTTCAGAGTTGGCTGATGTGAGATGAACTTGACTGTATCATTCAGCCGACCTTGGTATTCACGGTCGATAATGTAATAGTTTTCATCGAGCAATTTTATGATTCAGGAATATTAATCTGAAGATAAGAGAGTAAATGTTGAGACTGATAGAACAATGAAATGGAATCAATGAGGACAACGTCTTCATTTTGATTGATATTGTGAAAAGTACAAGTATCAAGTCGACTCTGCCTGGAATTGGTTAGAAGATATTTACAGATGAATGTAGATGTTTTATTCAGCGAACAATTCTTTAGTATCAAATTTTGAATAAGCGAAATTATTTTCTAATAAGATACAAGTTCATTGGCATCAATTTCAAGGACATTCCGTAGAGCAAGTGTCTTTAATTGTCAATATTTATCAAAGAGTGAGGAAATACCAATTAGAATCAAAGAAAAATTCGTTATATAATTGACGCAAGTTTCATATGAATCATATTTATTGAAATAATCAAAAAATTTACTATCAAATTCAGAACACCATCCGATAAAAGCCAAACAATGAGAAAATCATCATAATTTTGAATATCATCTAAAGCTGTTAATGATAAGTTATATTCTTCTATCTTATGACTTTCAACTAAAAGAAAAATATGTTAACAAAATAAAAGGTTCTAATGAATCAACAATTTAATCAAGTCAATTTTCATCACAAGTCAATGATTCCGACGCCCAGATCCATGGATTTCTGATGGGAACTCGCCGAATAGACACCGTTTCCGGTCGCAAAACTCGGGAAAATGGTAGAAATTTGGAAGTAGAAAGTCAGTAATCGGATCCAATTGCCATACTTTTCTAGTTCCTGTGAGAACTGGACAGAATCAATCGTCGAATCCGATCACAAGATTCATGCTTCTAAGTTAAAGTATCAAATTACTTTGTTTTTTTTTCTCTATTTTAATATTAGAAATAAAAAATATAAGGAGATCATAATAGGGTCAGATTATAGTTTTTTGATTTAGCAGCCTTCTCTTAATTTATTTTGTCAATTCATAAGATAAACCATCATTTTCGAATCTCCCTATGTTATTAGAATACATCAGCTTGTTAAATTGAAATGAAATTGATATTGAGTCATATCAGTTTACACCTTACAAAGAACGAAAAATATTTCTGATGAAAGTTATTAAATATTATTACTCTACATCAACTATTGTGATCAATAGTGTAAAAGATCTACCGACTATAAACTTTGATACTCATATAAGATCACTGTAAAAAAAAACTTTTAACTGTGAAATATATGATTTTACTATCCGATTTCGATATTAAAATATTGTCTGAAAAAAACATGATGAAAGCGTTAACTCTTTTGGAATCTTCAAATAAATGAAAATTGAATGTTGATTGTCTTTTTACGAACAATATTATCTTGTTTACTAGTTATTTTATTAGTTGAAAATCAATTTTATTTAATATCTCGTCTAAACTGTTCAGTCTGTTGAAATTATTAAATCTAAACGTTAACATTTAGTAATACAATGATTTGCTTGCTTTTTGTATGATTCAATAGTTTATACAAATATACATACACGATCTAATTACTTTCCTTTATCAGACTCTATATTTCATACGGATACCTAAAAAACACAGATGGTATTTTTAGCTTGAATGTATCGTTTTATCTTTTAAATAC